GCCTGCCAGCCCGAGTCCGCGCAGGGACAGGGCCCGCGCTCGCATACTGACACGCGGGCCTGCCCGGCCGCGAGGCCCCATGCAATCCCCCACAGCCCCCCGCTGCCGGCCCTGGCCTCTGTCCCCACCGCCGTCCCCCTGGGGTCCTGCTGCCTTCCAGGCGCTGCTCCCGTCGTCCCCTCCGACAATGGGCCAAGGCCAAGCCCGCAGGGGCCCGACGCCTTCTCCCCCGAGACCATCGAGGCTCCGCGGGCCACCACCCCCCAGCCCCCCGCCAGCCGGGACCCTGAGGGAGGGTGCGGGGGTGCGGCGCGGCTGCTGGACCTCGTGCGCGCGAGGCCTCGGCTCCCTGGAGCCCCCGGGCCGCGGCTGCGTTTCCCTCTGGGACCCCGGTCGCGGCTGCATACCTTGGCCAGCGTCCAGCGCGAGAGGTAAGAGCGAGAGCCGGGCGGGCACGGGCCTTGCGCCTGGCTCGCTGCTGGTCCCTGGGCGCCCCCTCCGCGGCCGGTGCAGCCGGCCAGCGGGCCCCTCCGGTGCGGTCCCTGCAGACCCGGCTGGAGGGGAGGCAGGACAAGGACGGTGCTCCAGTCCATCAAGTAAAACGCTTTCCTCATGGGCACACTGACAGGCCTGGTGGTCAGCAGCCCTGGCGCGAGAGCGGACTCCTCCCCGCCCTGGGCCCCGCCCACCCCGCGCCCCCAGGGTCCGTGTTTCCCCTCAGGCAGGCGCCGTGCAGGCAGCAGGTGGGGTTAGGGGACCGCACTTGGAGCGCCCCGCAGCCGGGCTGAGCGGCGGGGGGGCCCTGGGGACCACCGCCTCTTCCCCCAGGCAGTGGCGGTTTAACAGGCCAGTGACCCTGGACCCAGAGCAAGCCTGAGCCCGCCCCGCCCGTCCCCAAGGAGCGTCCGCCTCGCGTGCCCAGCTGCGGGCCCCCCCTCCCCAGCACGGGCGCCCCAGCAGCCCTGGCGCAGTGCGGCTGCGGCCGGTCAGCAGCCCCGCCAGGACCACAGGACTCCCAGGGCGGCGGCCTCTCAGCAGCGTCGCCGTGGGTCTGCCCGCTCGGTGCCCCACTCTGTCCCTGGAGCCCTCTCACCCCGCACCTCTGGCCTGCACCCCAGTTCTGTGCAAAAATCAGTAAAAAGGGCCCAAATAGCTTGGTCCAGATAGTAACAGTGGCCGAGCCTGGGCGAGAGCCCCTGGCACATGGTGGCTCGGCGCAGCAGTGCTGGCCTGGCGACGAGGAGATGTCGGTTGCGGCACGCGGAGGGCCCCGCGCCTCCTTCCCCCCCCCC